AGGTGACGCGCGTGTTCACGCTGGCGTCAAAATTATATAACATGTCTAAAGTTAAAATAAGAAGTCCAAATTGACAAACAGACAATCCACAACGAGCGAACGTACGGGGACGTATCGATGATTCTTTATGAATTCACAACCAGTTCCTGTGAAGGTAGACTACTTCCGTTTAGGAAGGGTTCTACATTTTTTTCATCCTTTTGTGAATGTAGTCACATATTTAACGGTTTGTTTGTAATAAATGTGGATAAATACGGCGGACAATTTTTACAAACATTCACAATAGATGAACATTCAACCGAGCTTGCTTACCGGAGGAGGAGGCTTTCGGACTGGCTCGTTGGGCTGTCGTCAGTCTCTTCCTCGGCTCGCCGTAGGCGCTTCGTGTGTTTTACCGCCTGCAGTCTCAAGGGAATCGGATTTAGAGAGCCAGTTTTATTACAGGGAAATTGCGTTTATGGCGAAGTCAACGTGGTGAATACACCTGTCTGTTCTTCTCATACACTGACTGTTCTTATCAGTTAATATTACGATGTAAATAACACCTCCTTTCTATACAGGGACATACCCAACTAACACGCAACTAGACAACCCATTACGGAGCCTCCAAGGCCCACCGTACCTTGTGTTTCCGTATTACGACGCGATATGAAACCCGGCAGTGGCGTCAACGTATCCCTCGTGAATAAACAAATCCACACGCAAATTATTCGTCCAATACGTATAGTAATCGCGAGGCACAAGCGTCATGTTACTATGCTGTTGCCATGCCACTGCAACCTCTCATTCACCTGATAGGTGGAGAGTTGACCATACAGGTGGAGTGACATCATAGAGGTGCAAATCAGAATCCACATGTATCAAATCCGTTGCAGCCCTGTTTTTAGGTCCCCTTTAAGGTAGTATGTGACATATAAATGGTCAAAAATGGTACATTCTCCATTAGCTTACGAGCTCCATGTTCAAGCGATCGACTATTCCTTCGCAATGTTGCATCACATTGGATATCCGCTTAAGTTGCCCTAGATTGGAATTTTTCCGATCATTTCCCTATGACGAATTAGCACAAATGTGCTTAAAATGCATGAAAAACGCCCATTTTTCAAAATGGCCAGCTTTCTGGGGGGCGGGGCTAATGAAAAGCAATTTGAAATATGTGTGCAATCATAATAGCAATGTGTATACAGCGTTTCGTGAATATTGGAAAAACTATATGCAAACAGTTTGGAGCAATTTGCGACATGTAAATCGTCAAAAATGGTGTATTCGCTGTTAGCTTACGACCTCCACCAGTGATTTTTCAAAAATGTGCTCCGCAATTAAGTATCATATTGGATAGGGGCTGAACTTGTCCTGGATTGGAATTTTTCCGATCATTCCCCTAGGAGGAGTTGGTAAGAATGTGCTTAAAATGCATGAAAAACGCACATTTTTCGAAATGGCCGACTTCCTGGGGGGTGGGGCTAATGGAAGGCAATTTGAAATATGTGTGCAATCATAATAGTAATGTGTATACAGCGTTTCGTGAATATCGGAAAAACTATATGCGAGCAGTTTGGAGCAATTTGCGCCATGTAAATCGTCAAACATTGTGTATTTGCTGTTAGCTTACGACCTCCACGAGTTATTTTTCAAAAAAGTGCTCCACAATTAAGTATTATATTGGATAGGGGCTGAACTTGTCCTGCATTGGAATTTTTCCAATCATTCCCCTAGGAGGAGTTCGCAAGAATGTGCTTAAAATGCATGAAAAACGCACATGTTTCAAAATGGCCGACTTTCTGGGGGGCGGGGCTAATGGAAGGCAATTTGAAATATGTGTGCAATCATAATAGTAATGTAGATGGAGCGTTTCGTGAATATTGGAACAACTATATTTGAGTAATTTGGAGTAGTTTGGAGTCATTTGCGACATGTAAATCGTCAAAAATGGTTTATTCGCTGTTAGCTTACGACCTCCACGATTGAGCTATCAAAAATGTTCTTCTCAATTTGGCATCATATTGGATAGGGGCTGAACTTGTCCTGGACTGGAATTTTTCCGATCATTCCCCTAGGAGCAGTTTGCAAGAATGTGCTTAAAATGGCTGAAAAACGCACATATTTCAAAATGGCCGACTTTTTGGGGGGCGGGGCTAATGGAATCTATCTAAAAATATGTCCGCAATTCCATGAGGAATGTCTGTGCCAAAAATCGTGAAGTTCTAAGAAACTATATGTGACTACCACACAATAGGGGGCGCTAGTGAGCAGCTTTTTTGAAAAATTACGTTTTTTTTTTACATTCTCGAAAAGGTCGTGGGCTCTGACGTGTGTGTCCCAAGTTTTGCCTCTGAAGCTCATTTTATGCTATCGCAATTTAAAACAAATGTATAAGCCACGCCCACATTCTGAATTTTTTGCGACACTTTAAATCTGAGTTCGTAGTCACCCTGAGAGTATGTCTAAAAAAAAATAAAAATAATTAGTCCATCCGCTCTTGAGTTATAAATTGGTGGTGTTTTTGGCGCCCCCTATAGTCCAAAATGAAAATGCTTTGGTGTGCCTATTCCCCAAGACAGTCTGAACCTATCTACCGAAATCTGTGTTGTTTGGATACATTGTTGATGAGTTATAAGCATTTATTTCTAAGCGCCGTACGTTTTGATTGACGGCGGCAATATTTATCGTCCTAACATGCTCATTTTCTACGGTAATGTGTCTGACCCTCCACCAATGCGGGATATGAAGTTTGGTGTTGAAAAACTGAAAATTGAAATTTAAGTGAATATTTAACTGTTTTGAACATTATGCTAATTTAGAAGAAAAAAAATGGAGGCGGAGCTTAGGGTTCCAAGAGGATTATTTGTAGAGCAGGTCCACCCGGATATGTGTGCAAAATTTCAGGTCATTCGGAGTTACGGTGCGACTTTGTAAATGTATTCCGAAATGGGATTTTGATAGGTGGCGCTATTGAGCACGTTGGAATATTTTAACCCATTGACTCCAGAATGTTGCAATTTTTACCGGTCCTGGCGTCCGTGCAAAATTATACAACTTTGTCAGCATCCTAAAGGCCTCAAAAACAGGAAAGATGGTGACTAAAAATAATAATAATTAAAACTGCGGTCACAGATGTGCGCAGTGATGAGCGGGCCCTCGCGTCCGTGCGCCTGTCGGGGAGGGCGGCCGGTCGTCCCGGCGTCAAGCAGACGCGCGCGAGTCCTCCGAAATGAGCCGTTTGTCATTACTCTAATTTTCGCGTCCCAGGCTCCCAGGTCCTCCGGCAGCGACCCGGAAACGGATGTCGGCGCGCCGTCTGGAGGAAAACAAATTTGTCTAAAGGCTCGTCGAGGATGGATTATCGAGGAGGCTGTCTGGAGGAGCCGTAACCGAGGATACACTGATTTAGAGGAGAGAGGATCGCATTATGTGTTAAAAACGTGCTAAAATGTAACCGCCGGTTTAAACGGAGGTTCTGACGAGCGTAATATCAAAAAAAGGCGCGTATAAGTGCGTTTGCGTCGTCAATAATATATGTAATGATATACTACACGTGGTGTATAAAAAGTTTAACGGAAGGTAATGGGGCCCGGGGGTCTCCAGCCCGGTCCAAATCTTTTTACCACGCAAAAAGACGTAAAATTCGGTGTAAGAACGGGTGATGATGGAGGAATCCCCCTTACTGCCTTTCTAAGGTTGAGGTCGTTGTTCAAAAATCGGGTAATAAGGTTCACTACTATGAATTAACGCCCTCGTGTGAAGAAAAAACATTTTAGAGAGAACACTCTACATATTCGATCCGTCGCTTATGTGTTAAAAACTGTCTAAATGTAACAGCGTTAAACGGACGGTTTGACCAAACGGTATATCAAAAGGCTATAAGTGCCTTTGCGGGGGACCTATGTGTAACGGAAATACTAACGTGTGTTTAAAGTTTAACGGAAAGTAATCGGGGCGGGGGTCTTTCGACTGCCGGCTAAACTTTTTTAACCCCGGCAAAAGTACGGGGTAAATTCGTGTAAAGCACGATTAAGCCAGTACTCCCTTGTACTAGCGCTTTATTAAGGCTTAGATCCCGTTGAATTCGCGCTATGGCGGAGGTTAACACCACTACGTTGAAAGCCGGCCTTCGCCTTATCCAAAACTAGCCGGGAACCTTGTACCTCGAGCGATTGCGATTACCTCTTACAATGTTAAAACTGGTAAATATACAGTTGTATGAATTGGAAGTTTCCCTGAAGTGTTTGATCGCGGACGTTGCCTCAAAGCAACTATGTACACGCTTAAGACTAAACGTGGAGAATACTACAGTGTCTTCCACGTGAAGGTGGACATACCGTGAGAGGTGGGATAGTCCCCTTACTCTCCAACGTCACCGTAACCGTTTGTCGTATCCGTTTGTCGTACCCGTTGGTCGTATCAATTGTAACTGCGAACACGGAGGGGGGAGGAAACGTCCCCCCCACAGTCGAGGTCGAGTACGTTTCTGTCTCGACCTCACTCCGTTTTACTCCGTACCGAATTTTACGTACTACACAAACCATAAAACTTTTTATTTTTGGTATGTCAATATGTCGAACGAATCAACTGTATCCATGACCGGGACGCAGTGCGGATATAATATGTAGTGACACGACTCGCTACTAGAGTCACAGGGGAGAAATATCGATGACTCTTGAGCGGAGAGCAGAGAGGAGAGAGGGAGAAGTAGAGAGGAGTGAGGAGTGAGGAGAGAGGAGATTTGACTAGTAGCTGTGTAGGAGGTCTTGTGTGGGGATATGGTAGGAGCTGCTCGACATTGCTTATGTACATATGGAGGTCTGCCGCGCGGCTATAGGCTAAGGCCATGTGACGGCCTCATGAACTCTCGACTGCACCCATACTGCTTTGCCGAGTATAGCATGCTGATACCCAGACGGCTGCTGCCCTGCTAGGCTATGCTAGGAGGAATATGTAAGCTATGGTGCAGAGTAGTGCGCGTGTAAAGACACTGGCGTCAAAATTATCCGGGCTCGTGCTCACGATCCCTGGGGTTGCAACACGACGTGCAGAACACTCACAGGATAACGAACATCAACCTTAATAAGAAGATGACTTATGACTTTCGTACGTACCGCATATGACATAAACTACCGAGACCTGCGAGTTGTCTCAATCATATGTAGAACGTGCTACGACCTGCTTTTACTAGTTGTCTAGACCACTCTGTTACAAAGTTTAACAGGTTCCACGAGCGACGCATGAATACTTGTTCGGTAAAGCTTTGCATTCAATGTATTTCAGCGTGGCATAAGTGTTAACTGGACCTTCTAAATGTTGTACGTAGGCCCACCGGACAAGACGTGTCTAAGAGAATGGATCGAGGCGAGAAATAAAAAATCGATTATCGTATCAGTCTTATCACTCTATACGTGAATTTAAAGGTTAGAATGATACTTGTTGTATTGAACAATGTCGTAGCCGCTTATGTGTAAGTTCATCTTTTACTCGTACAATTGTTGCATTTATAACCGGTACTTAGTTTTTGCATGATCTGTCTTTACGCCGAATCTTTATTTACGAGTATTGAGTAGATGTAATAGGAGATAGGTCTAAAACCAGTCCTTATCCTAACTAAGCAGAAGTCCCTTCTTACGTGTGATTTGGTAAAAGTAAAACCTGATATCCGGCAGGGTTTTTGGTGGTATATTGAGTGCTTGCATAGTGCTTAAAGAAAAACAGAAGGCAAATGGTGTATGCAGAGCCCAGCACTGAATACTGACTCTAAACTTCACACCGTTGTTGCCGTCTTACACCGCACGGATATGTAAAAGAGATTTATCGCTATCGTACGCAAGCCTGCCACTTTGAACCCTGACAGTCTCAGGCTGGAAAATGCTTTACTTTTGCATAAGAGTTTTTGACGACTGGTCTCAGCGAGACACACACCATCAGGCATATCAACGAGTTCGAGAAGTGCTTCGAAAACTGTATTTCTAAGAGTGACTATTATGACGTACAAGATTAATGAGTATCGCCTATTTCAGCCAGTAAAACTTTTTACCGCAAAATGTAGAAATCGTAGTAAGAAGCTTGAGGAGGATCCCTTTACTAGCCTTTTTAAGGTCAGGTCCGTTCAAGTCGGATGTTACACGACGCTTCCCTTATTAACTAGAGTATGCTCTCGAGCACGTGCCATATTAAAGGTAAAAACTGGCAATGACAGTGTTTACTGATTTTGCTGAGTATTTGTAGTCCGAAATTGTCATTAAGGTCGAAAAAGTGCTTTGCGACATCTACGAGCCGAGAATAACTACGCAGTAATTAAAGTTTAACGAAAGAACCAGGTGTCTCTACAACCGCTATAACTTCTTAACCACGCAAAAGTACGTAAAATGCGTGTAGAAGGTGAGGAGGACCCTATACTAGCTTTAAGGACGGCCTGTCTCAAGTCGGGCAGAGGTTTCGACTACGTAGCGACATACAACTGAGGGAGGTAGACCTGCCTCAGCATTCGGATGCATCTTAAAGCGTAAAACCTGCAATGTACAGCTGCTTCCACATGGAGGCGAGGCCTCATCACCAAACCTAACCCGCTATAGAGTGCTTGCGATCTCTTATGGGAGTAAGTTAACACCAACGTTAAAAAAGAGGTTAAAGGAAAGGACTCGGGGCGGGCGGTCTTTGCAGCGAAAAAAAATTTACACGCAAAGTCTTAAATTCTGTGTTGCAGACAGATAGTAAGGAGATCTTTACTAGACTAGGTCAGATCTGTGGATCGCGCCAGCCGCCGACTGCATTGGCGAGACAGTCCGTTCGCTTGCCCCTCCTACGACCGTCAACTCGTCACGGTCCGCCTATGTGCCGTAAACTTACCCTGTCAATTACATAGCTATTGGGTACTGGACTTTTGTGTAGCTATGTAAAGAGGCCTTGGTACTTCGAGCTCGGATGAAGCGTCACTACAAATTTAATCGTACTACGGTATGTGTCTATGGTGGTGTGTGTGCGGTGGATCGTGTGTCAAGTGTGTGTAACTGGCATTATCTAATATGTATAAGTACTTGAGTTTGCATGTAGTGTTTGTAAGAGTGTTGTGGTGGTGTGTGTGAGTGTTGTTTAATTGTTGTCTGTGGTGATGAGTGACATGTTGTGTGTGTATTGTCGACGGATTTCGTATAGACATATTATAGTGCCGATGTCGGGAACATATAAAATAATAAACACTTGTGATATTACCAAAGTACTTATTATAGATGAGAAATGAACATCTATAGATGATTTCGTATGTTTATTTCACGATACACGATACATACGGACATATAATAAATATGACAGACAAGAGTGACTGAGTCGTAGCGCAAGACTTACATTTTGTAGCGGCAGTGTTACTTTCGTATTGTATTTGTAGGTGTCCGCTCTACACTAATCACTCATTTGTTTGTTTGCCATTTCCCGTCTTTCCAGACTACGTGTAAAACTAGGAGAATTTATTGGATATTAGTGTTGCCCTTGTCAATCGTCTCGAAACGAAACAACTGTATTCAGGTCGGTACGCAGTGCGGGAAAAATTTGTAGTGACAACCGACTTGCGAGCCTCCTATGTAGTCACAATGGGAGCCAATATCGAGGANNTATATATATATATATATAGTGCTACAACATTCTTTAGATGTTCCAGATGTGCTCTTACATGCTCCTGGAGGCTCTGGGCCAGCGCCTGCTGCAGCTCCTGCTCCTCCCTCTCCTGATCCTGATCCAGACTGTACTGCTGAACCCAGTCCAGCTCCCCCTGTTGCTGCCCCCCCTCTGGAGTCTGGTTCTCCTTGTTCTCGTCCATGGTCAGGTCCAGGGAGTCCAGCACATCTAGGCGAGATAAACACACACAGGTCAGTTCACTTAAAGGAAGAATTCACCCACAAAGTGACCATTTGTTTTTCAATGACAAGTTTTGAAATCCTATTGCTGTTATTAAACATGGACCCTGTAGACTTTTTTCAGTTTTTCAGTTCTCTATTTCCCGTGGAGGCATCTAACAAAGTAAATTATACAAATTATTATTTTAAAAAGGTTACATATTTATTTAATACTTCAGCATTACTTAAGTTATGTCAACTCCATCTACCAAAGTTTAATCATTACAATGTTAGTTTGCTTAACCTGTTGAGCCCTGAGCCTGTTTTCCAGGTCTCAGGCTCGAAAATGACGTTCCCAGAACAAATGACTATCTTCACTTCTAAACGGGTTACATCAATAATCTTTTTACTCAAAGCAATGATAAACCTGTGAGTTGGATGTAGAAAAGTCAGAATCAATATAGAATTGTTTTATTTTAAAGTAAATTCAGATTGAACATAGTATAAAAAATGTCAATTATAGTGTCCGTCCAAAAATATTTTTTTACTTATAGTGAAAACCACGCTTGAATGATGGGATAGTAGACTAAAAGCTTTAGGAATCCAAACTATAACATATAATAAGTACCCTGTATCAAGATTGATGCAAAAGAAGTGACATTTGACCTTTTTAGAGAGATTTAGCAAAAAAAAACTTCTGTGGTCATTTGGGTGGATTTGCCATATTGCCGTTTTTGCTCCGTAAAGCTACGTTATGTGTTGTCTGGGTTTGCCTTCGCTGCCCTGAGTTCTGATCGCACAGGGATGATACTTATCCTTCTAGAATCTGTGGAATCTCAGTTCTAATCTGTTTGTGCAGATCCGATAAGTAATAAAGTATTTATACCGTGAGTTCTGTGCTAAGTGCGTTAGCATTTTTTCGCTCAGGGCTAATTCAGAGGCTTGTTATTGCCCCTGTGTTTTGTATAGCTAAAAATGGTTCATATTGTCTGATAGCTGAGTTTCTCACCGTTAAGTGGGTATGACACATTCGTAGTTTGTTAAATGTTAAAAAGCCCTCAGACGCTGTTTCCGGTACCGGGGGCATGGGGCTTAACTGGTTATGACATGAATTTTGGCCAACCCAGTTTCTATGTATATCTAGAGAGCCCCATATATCTTATTTTTAAAATGTATCTTTGTTATTACTGACTGCTTTTATATGGTCACTTACTTTATAATTATAAAAATAAAAAAAATAAAAAATGGTTGCTTACTTATTTGATAAATGTGTGCTTGTCTCTTTATTTAACATGTTAGCCTACCTGCAGGCTGTTTGCTGTCTGTTTCCAGCAGATCTGTGTGATAGGCCAGGTCATGGGCGTCTGTGTCCCCGAAGCCTGTGTCGGGGCTGCTGGTTGGTTCATCCTCCATTGGGGGCGGGGCCGAGAGCCCGGCCTCTTGACGACTCATCTCCAGCACGGCAGCCAGCATTTCTTCATCATTTATGCCACTGAAGTCTGCTGAATCTATGGCTGCTCCTCGCTGAAGACACATCAAAACAGTGTGGTAACACAAGCAGAGGGAAACATGATCGTAATCATAACTGTGACGGTCTATCAGCGGTACCTCTTCCGGTCGCTCATCCTCGTCAGGCAGACAGCTGCTGAGGCGTCGCTTGCGGCTCACTGTTGCTTTACTGTTGGGCTCCTCTTCACTATCAGAGTCCAGGAGGCTAGACGTGCAGCTAGAGTTGGCAGCTTTGCCTCCAATCCTTCTAGACAAACACAATAAGCTCAGACCAAAGCTTATGTGATTGGATGAGTCAAGGGTGGGCTATTTTTTTATAAGCTATCTTACTGCCTTCCCGCTTCATCAAGCTTTGTTTTCTTATACCTTGACAGTATGTTTTAATATTGAATCCGACCGAGCAAAGAACATGTTGCTGCACATTTTGAGTGTAAAGCTTTAATGTTGTTGCCAATGTAACTGTATCTCTTTTTCATGTTTCCTACAGAACTTACCGGAGAGGAGCTGTCGACGAGTTGACACACTGCGACGTTTTGAGTGTTCTGGAACTTGAGAACAACAAAGAAAACGTTTAGAAACCTAAATATTTCACTTAATCTCTCAACCAAATGAGACTAGTGTTATGCATCGTAGTCAAGTCAATAGCTCAAAAAATGACTTACATGGAGGACTGGGAACTCCAGCCAAGGCTAATGGGGGCTCGTGTGGATTCAGTGCAGTGGGACAGCAGGGTCAGGTACCGGGGGATCACCACCTGCTGGCCCAGCTTGCTGTTCAGTGACAGCTGGGCGTTAAAGCTGTAGCGCTTCAGGTGGAGGATGAGCACTCTGTGGGGAAGAAACATCATAAATCAGAAGTGTGTCTACTAGTGAACAACAGATGCTTACAGGAAGTAGCTGTTGTGATTCATGCCTTATGTTTGAAATGCAGTGTTCAGTTAGCAACAAGTGTGACCGCTTCTCATGCATGAGAACTGAAAAATGATGTGTGTACACACCTGGGCAATTTGCTAAATTTATGTGTAACAGTCGCCGATTTCCCATTGCACTTTTCACACGAGTACTCAATTTCCTCCATCTGAAAAAGAAAAAGTAACTTCTATCATTGCACATTCAAAAATGGTATATGTAGTTTAGACTTTTCACTTGAAGGTAACTGCAAAACAAATGGAACAGTTGAAAAGTGGCTGAAGATTAATCAGTACTATAAGCTGTCAATGAGAGACACTCACCCTAAAAAAGAGATCCAGAGAGTCCTGGATAGAGCGGAGTGGAAGCGTTTTCTTCCGCCGTGGGAGGTCGATGGACAAGTCATTAAACTGTTCTCGCTTGTTAACTACCTCGCCACATCTGGAAAGGAACATGAAGGCATAAAACATTCTCCAGATTCACATAGAGTTTTGGCTTTCAGATAAATAAGCAGGAGACAGGCTCACCCTTTGCATGTGATGGTGTGCTGCACCTCAAACTCCATGTTGACCGCAACAGGGCAGGTGTAGATGCGGGACGTGTCTGCCTCTTCACCCGGCTCTGCTTTTGCTGCTGAGGACGTTCCCTCCTGGCCACTCTCACGCGCCACAGAGGACGAGGACCACGCTGCCGCTTCGTTGGACCAGTTCTTGTTCATTTTCTCCACGTCGTCCTTTAACTGGTCCAAACACTGGCTCAGGAACTCATGAGCATCCTGGTGAATAATGTGATACACATGGACTTTAAAAAGCATAAAGAATAAATACAAAAGGTGGGTTATGTTCAGCTTCAGTGTTCACAAACACAGAGTTGAGACAGACCATCAATTACGGGATACAGGTGGAAATAAAAACAAAACTTGTGAAATGCATGTGTCCAAACCCTTAGTTAACCAATACAAAATATATTTTTTTTTAGTATATCATTGTTTTGTTTGACATCTGTTATTACATTTTCTCACTAAAATGTGTATGAGCACTATAAACAAACAATTGCATCTTGTGATAAAGTGTGTGCCATGTCCTCCATCTGCAACAACCACATGACATTTGAAATATTAGGGTACTTGAAGAATTGAAAAATTGGTCACAACAGAGATCTTACGTTCTGCATGTTTCCAGAGAACCGCTCAGCTGTGGAGGAGATGGCGCTCTTCACTTTCCTCAACAGGTCTTTTTTTGTTTCTGGACATCCCACATCCTTCTTGGCCATAAGGTGTGCAAACCGCCTGCAGGCAGTGAAGAGGCACAGAATTAAACACTTTCAGGCAGGTTTTGAAAAAGGAAAGGATAGGTTTGAAAAGCACATCATTACAGGTCTCCCTTTAATCCATCTAGACGGCCTAATGTAGTACCTGAGCAGTGCATTGATGGGGACCTTCTTCCACGGGATGCTCTGCCTCAGCATGTCATTGGAGAAGGAGGGGAGGCTGAAGAGGGACTGCAGTATGGCGTTCATGTAGCAGGTGTTGCCCAGGTTGGAGAATCTGATAGAACATTTTAAACATTAGGATGATAATAAAAAGGGAAAGAAAAAAACTCATCAAGGCCTTCAATTTGGTTGGGATAACATCATTTGTGACACTATCTTTCGCAGGATTTGCAGTTGTATGCGAGGTTACAAATAAAAAAACGTTCAAAACGAGGGCATAAACAGCTCTTTTTTTGTTCACAACGTCGAAATAATTGAACTCCAGTTTCTTTTTACAAAGCAACTGCGTATGCTCATGTTCTGTGCAGCACATCTGGCTTCTCCTTACCCTTGCAGGGGGGGCTGAGGCTGGGCCAGGGTGGACAGCCTTTGCTTGTTCCAACCGCCGTAGTCCAGAGTGGGCCGGACCTTCTTGAAAGGAGTGGAGTGGTTTGGCAGCATGAGGCTCCTCTTGGCTGAAGAGCTCTGTGCTGTACTGCATGGCCTGTGTGGATTTGTAGCACACAGATGTGACCCACTGGCGTCACAATGACTTCATGCTCTAACTAGACAATTATATTGAAGTGCTCTTTACATTTCTCAATTCAATTGTAAGTGCACTTGACCTAAAGTTGTTTTCTTAAAAAAAAGAAAGAGTTCCGTTTAACCGCACAGCTCTAGTGTATTTGCATGGAGAAGTAGATGTGTCGTTTAAAGCAGGTATCTTGTGCCTTACAGCTGAACAGAAACTCACCTGTCCAGGAGAGAATGGCTCTGACTGTAGTCTTTAGTCACAGACCGGCTGCCGTAAAAGGACGTGGGCTGAAGGGGAGTTGAACTCAGTGAAGCTGTCGGTGAGGAATAAAGGAGTGATTGAAAGTAAAGACCAAACATTTGGGTCTGAATGAATAGGTTCAGAAAGGTAAATAGAGTGGTGCAGAAATGAGTCTTAAAACACGGAACACTTAGCATTTGACCACCTCAGGTTCTCACTCAGTTTGTTCATAGCCTTAAGTTAGACATTTACTTTTGGCGATACATTGCATGTGGTGATATTCCTACTGATGAACATGTGGTAGAATCTTAAACGTGTGTTTGTCAAAGATTTTATTTTCTACAAAAATCCAATGGAAGAAATCCCATTGCTTTTTGTGGAGGTAGCCCTTGCAATGCTAACTGTTGGGTGGCCTACACAAAGAGGTCATCACTGCACCACTGGAAGTTAGTGTACAGCAGGGGTGCCCAACCTTTTTTGAACCGAGAGCTACTTTTAAAGATGCCAGTCTGCCGAGATCTACCAGTCCAAATAGAGAGTCGTAGCCATTACTGACAGCCTACTACCGGTTAAATACACACTTCTACTTGTATAAAACTGACCTTTGTACGATGAATACTTCATAAAATACTGCAGATCCTTTATCTTACCTCTTTCTAATTTACACACATACAAGTATTTAACTGAAGTTACACAACAGTGTTGTTGATACAGAGTTGGAGTTTATTCACACGTCACATACTACAGTGGGTAATGTTTTCAAGAAACATTGAACAGTGCTGCCACATATGACACAGGAAAAAAAGGAAAAGACTCTGAACCCTTTCTTTGTCATTATATAAAAATAGTGTTGCTACAAAAGTATAAATTAGGCTTACTAACCAGACAACTCAGATCTGAAGCTACACAGGAGTCTGCTGCCAAAGTGCAATAAAAAAGACAAAATTAATAGAATCAAACCCTTTTTTTGTTGCATTTTAGTAGATTATAAAAATAAATGCCTTAAAATAGGATGCAAGCAACACTAGTTTCTTAACCTGAATTGATAATAAACTATAATCAATTTAAGTTTGTATTCTTATACCATTTTGTACAATAATTATAATGAATAAGTTCAAACAAACTAAAATTCACAGCTGATTAATAACGGTATTTAACTCGTTTTTATTATATCAAAAACCTGTTGAAATGCTACTGTTATTTTTACTGTCCCCCAAAAGCGCGTCGACAGCCTCCAGGAATGCGTCCTCACACTTCGCCGTCTTGAAAAGACTTCATGTGTTTCGCAAGAACGTACTGACAACCGATAAAGATGCTAGGTAGCGCACCTTGCCTTGTTGTTTGGGCCCGGGTGAAATGGACTGCTGTGCAATTTAGCTGTCCCTTCAGGCCATCCCCCTTTGGGAGCGTCGGGCAGAAATAGGAGGGATCCATCTCTCGTAAGCATTTGCCACGTTTGAATGCCGCTCTAAATAACCTTCTTCGATAAAGCCACGCTCGCATTGCAGATTGAGAGCACAGATGCTTGGATTGGATAGATACAAAAATACATCATCCTCCCACTTGGGAGAGGAAATTGTATATTTTGGGGCTTTTCCTTCGCCATAATTGTGGTCTTTGGTTGCGGATGTCACTCCCCTGTACACGGACAAGTAAGCTAACAGTGCCACGCCACCAGCCACGCCCGACCACAGGGGGTCACGCCGGCCATCACAAGCGTGATGCGTTCCAATCATATATGGCACAGGAAATTATGTTATACAGGGTATAATGCCAGGAAGCGAGGTCAAATTTAATACCTTATAAGATCCCTGCCCCATACATTTTAAGACATCATCGCAACTTAGTGCTACCGTTTACATTGGAAACACACTTACCTCACATTTACAATTTATTGTAAGATAGCAAACTAAACAGAGTGCAGACAGACTACTGAAGCCTCCTTCCACATGAAACTCAACTCTCTGCGAAGGTCGGTTTTAATGCAGTATGCTGCTTTATTTGCTCGTAGACTCTGTCTCTTTCATTCCAGTAAAACTCCTCAGAAACGAGTATTTGGACCCATAAACAAAACAATGACAAACTTTGAACTATGAACATATATTAAAACTTTGGTGTAGCTTCAAGCTGGTAATCATATAGGAGCTCCCTCACAAAAACCAGGGTTAATTGGCGGGTGCGTCCCGGGCTAAGCCCTGGGCACTAGGACGATGCCTGAGTCAAATCACCCTCAACACATTTTCGGTATGTTTACAAAAGGATATATATGTTAAGACTTTCTCGTTCTTAAAAGGACTAAGATTTAGGTCTATATGATGTTGGACTTTTACTTAAAAGCAGACTCTGGACCGATATAGTTTGGCTTGGACCTCCGGCCCACGAGGAACGCCTACCAGTAAAAACGCATTACGCAGCGCAAAAAAGTCTTCCGTTCACACGCATTCGATTCCATAACGTGTCCGTTCACACTAGACCGCTGTGAAATGCTGGAAACGATGTAGGTAGTACATTATGTCAGCGCCTGTAAAGTGGCGCTGCTCCGCCACAAATACACCCAAAAGCAGCGAAGAGGGACCCGGAGCATGGTTGCCATTTGCCCTTCTGTTTATTCTCCGCGGTGGACGGCGTTTTCTCCTGCTGTCAACTATTACGGTAGATAACACCAAGAGCTAAGAACACAGCACTCACACCCTCTACACTCTCCGCCGTCCT